AACTCTTCTCAATTAATCACCATTTGGTACCAAATGGCCAGACGCCCAGGCTACAAGCCCACAGCCAATTTGGCCATTTGAACGTGCCAGGTCCTCCTGTAAACACTAGTGGCCTCTGGCAATCAGAGCCAGATGGGATCCAGACATGAAAGCAGGTCTTTGATGAGATTCTGCCCTAGTGCAATTGCTTATTAGCAGCCACACAGCGGCTGCTCACGGAGCTCCAATCTCTTCAATGTCCTCCAGCTTTCCTATTGGAACCTTCTGTGAACCAGGCCTGGTGGCTCATGCCTATAATCCCAGCACTCTGGAGGTTAAAGCAGGAGGATCCCAAGCTCTAGGCCAGCCTGGGCTCTATGAAACTAGGTCTCTAAACCAAGAAAGAGCCTTCTAGGAAAGGATTAGGACCCACAGTGCATGGAGCAGGGAGTGCCTGCTCTCCACCTGGCAGGGTACTGCCAGCAAAGCAGGTGAAGGCAAGGCTTTTCCTTAGTCCAGGCATGGTATCACTCTAGAGTGACTCTGGAAACTGCCATTCAGTGACAGTGGAACAGCTGTTGTAGGTGACTCTGCATCCATGACCTGACGCCTAACAGACGGATTTTCAGAACCCTGGGCACATCCCAATTCTAGACTCTCAATCACACATGTTGCTAATGACAGCCTCCACAGAATGAAAAACCAAATTCTGTGTTGAGAGCAGGCTGGACCGCAGAGCAGGAGTGGGAAGACCAGTGAGGCTGGAGCAATAACCTAGGTGATGGAGGATGGTGCCTCTGATCAGTGGCTGCTGGAGGGGAGTGCTCACAGTGTGACTGACATGTATAGAGTACAGACACACATAGATACACTAGGGTGGGGAAAGGGGGAGGGAAAGACAGGAAGTTCAAGAATTCTGGCAAACAGTAGAATGTTCTGGAAACGAAATGCTTGTGAAGGTAAACTGCTGAGTTCATTCAGCGGCTACCAGGGATCTGGACTTGAGTCGGACACTGTACAGACAGCTACGCAACTCTCCAACCCCTCTATCCATAAATTCAGTGAGTCTTACAGCCGAGGCATAACATCAGAGGGATAAGTAAGTTGTTTGCTTATTAAACAGTGTGACTTGTGCAAACGTAATTGCACTGCAAAGAATAAAGAAAATTATTTAATGATGTAGAAAAACTCCTGCAGGCCCTGATCAAAAGCAAAGGTGAGTGCTCCAGGGCGAGCAAACGATCTCACAGAACACCAGGGCGCTCCAGGGCGGGCAAACGATCTCACAGAACACCAGGGCGCTCCAGGCCGAGCAAACGATCTCACAGAACACCAGGACACAGGCTTTGTAAGGGAGTGAGACCTAGACCTTGGGACACGTGACTTAGACCTTGGGACAGTTCTCTGCCCCAGCTACACTTCCAGTACAAAGCGGACTGGCTTCCACTAGATGTGGGTGACCATCAATTTAAGGACAGATTACCAATTAAAAGTAGAAGCACAGAAGAGAAGTCACAGCCCCTGAGCAGATACAGTGACCCCATGGCACAGAGTGTGTGGAGGTCAACAGTGCATCTTCGGGTGTGTGCTACCTCTGGTTTCCAACAGGGCATCAGGTGAAAGGGTAAGTTTACTTCCAAACTCACCTCAGAAAAAGGACAAATAAACTAAAATGAAGGTTCTGCAGTATGGCCTTACAGCAAACATGGACAACAGCTACCGAGTCAGAAAACAGTGTCCACGTAGAAGAGTGTGATCACAGGTAACAAGCTGGCAGGAGCCAGGGGGTGCTGTGGCTAGAAACTGCCTCGGCCAATCCAAGATGAAGCTGGACTCACACAGGGGCCTTGGCAGCACAGTTTGGGGTCTCAACTATCAATGGGCCTGAAGCACAGCATATCAGAAGGGAGGTCTTGTGGACTGCAAAGACTGGGTGCACACTAGCATGAGCCAGAAGTAAGGAAGGTCAGGACTGGGTGCAGCCATTCACTACTGAACGTGATCTTCACGTCCCCAAGCTCAATTTCATTCTACTATTCAGTCTATTGAAGCATGACATGATTCACAAGGCTCTAAAATGGACATTCTAGAATCCAGGGAGCTGTGCTCTACAATAATACGACAGCCTATTAGTTGCCTGAGCAAAATGTAAAATAAATTCAAGAAATCTGGAATTACCTCCAGTTCAACTGTATGGATTTAGGGATGGCTGACATGCTACAGGGTTACAGCTGTGACAGGCTGCATGAGCAGGAAAGCTTCAAGTACCTTGTTCTTAAAAAGAGCAACAGCACATTGCGCTTCCTTTGGTCTGTGTCTGCTGGGCAGTGCTGTCCCACCCGCTGCTTCAAGCTCCGTTCTGGATGAGGCCGGGAGGCCCATATGCAGATAACCTCTTTCCAGCAGTGGCTCTCTCAGCCTTGCCCCTGACAAGAGGTGTGAGGGTTTAACTTGGACTCCATGACAGGCTGGGAATCTGTGTGCCGGGTGTCTGCTGTTTGGGGTTTGTGACATGGACTGGCGGGAGGCAGAGCAAGGCTGTGGACTTATGGGAAGGAAGGCCCTGGAAGGAACACAGCCATCTCTTCAGGGGAGGAGATCACTAGTGGTGTCCCCATGCCATCCCTCCATTCTTAGCCAAGCCATCAGTGGTGGTAACCTCCACTGGTCACCTCCCTATGGACCTAAGAAATGGACTTGTTTTCCAGGGCTTAGAGATACAGCCTGCAGTTTGTCCTGTCTCAGGGAAATGGTTTGGGAGATGGAGACGGACAGATGGATCAGCACAGAACTATGGCCTCAGTCAAAAACAAAAGAAAGAGGCTCAGAGGCCCACGCTTACAGCAGGGGGCAAACAGCACTGCCACTGCCATCAGATCTAAAAAGATCGCCGTGTCACCGGGAACCATCGTTTGCAAAGTCAGGGGTCTTCCTCTCCCTCGTTTTTCTCTGGTTTTCCAACTGTGCTACACGGCTATAAAAGTTATAAAAATTCCTTAAAATCTCAAGACAGCCTATGAGACTGTCCTAAGACCCAAATTATTCCTGAATATGACGGGGCATTTCCTGTCACATAGCAAGACCACATCACAGGGCACAGGAAATGAGGTGTGAGACAGATGGGCTGCACACCACTGAACACCCCACGACAGACAGGATACTCTCTGATGTAAGGCACCGCTAGTCACTGGCCTGACAAAACAGTTTCTACGAGCAGTAAAGAAGAGCCTTGGGGCATGTTCAGCCCATGATTCTCCTGGGGTCTAAGCTCCTTCATGGCTGAAATATCCTTCCTCCCCACTGTACAGATATCCCCTCTGAAGGACGATGTCCTCACACAGAGTGAGCACAAATGAATTGGAGCTGATGATGTAGAAATTCTAGACTGTTCTCCATACTCGGTATCTAGGTGCCAAGGTTACAGCACCCCACCTCTACCTTCACCCCCTCCCAAAGGATCAGCTGATGATCTAGACAAAAATTACAGAGACAATTCATGCTGGTGAAATTGTACAAAGGTGATGAATTCATTCAGATGTGTGACAAACAAGTCTCATGTTCCACACGGAGCTTCACATGTGCATGATGTGTGTGGCAGTCTGCCATGAAGGCGTGCAGAGATTTTCACACAGCCGTCTACAGCTTTCCTGCCCCCCCCCTAAATTTCTTACTGCTAGCTGGGTGTGACGACACATGCCTGTAATCCCAGTACTTGGGAGGTGGAGGCAGGAGGATCAGGGCTCAAAATCTTCTTCACATGCATAGAGTTCAAGACCAGCCTGGGCTACATAAAACCTTATCTCTCTTAAAAAAAATATTATTTTTATTTTATGTGTATGAGTGTTTAGCTTGCATGTATGTAAATGCATCCATATCATGCAATGCTCACAGAAACCAGAAGAGATCCTCTGGAGCCACTGGTTATGAGCCAACACGTAGGTGCTGGAACTCTGTGTCCTCTGCAAGAGCAGCCAGTGCTCTTAACTGCTGAGCCCCAATCACAAAAATTCCAGCTGCTCTGTTTTTCTCCCCAACCAAATGAGCTGCTTCCAACCAGGAAAGCTGTGAGTTTTTAGCATCAGGTCGGGGGATAAGACCACCTCAGGAAAAGCTTCTGAACCAGCACAGGAGCATTTTCTAGTTTTCTGCTCCACTGATCATTTTCTAAATGGTAGAATTTAATAATTTTGTTCAGTTTTATACCATTTTTTTCTGAAAGAAGAAATCACCAAATTATAATAACATTAAGTGGATTGAAATCTTAACCATATATATATATATATTTTTGGTCTTTTTGAGACAGGGTCTCCCTGTAGCCCCAGCAGTCCTGGAGCTCACTATGTAGACCAGGCTGGCCTTGAACTCACAGAGATCCACCTGCCTCTGGCTCCCGAGTGCTGGGATTAAAGGTGTGTGCCACCATGCCCAGCTTAACCATATTTTTAACACTCATAAATATATTATTTATCAACATTTCATTTACCAAGGCATTCTATCAAACAAATTCTTTCAAACATTAGCCAATCATACCAGGAAACAACCGTATTTTTTTAAAACTTTTAAAAAAATTTTATTATTTTTATTTTATGTGTATGTGTGTATTGACTTCATGTAGGTAAGTGCACCCATATCATGCAATGCCCACAGAGGTCAGAAGTGGCTGTCGGATCCCCTGGAACTGGAGTTACGGACGGTTGTTAGCTGCCATGTGGGTGCTGGGATTCGAACCTGGCTCTTCTGCAAGAACAACCAGTGTTCTTAATCACTGAGCCATCTCTCCAGCCCTACAACATTTTTATAGAGTAGTCAGACACACTCAAAGATATCACAGAAGTAAGGCAGTCAGGGTCTATTAGCCCTGCTAAAGTCTTTAAAATATTACATCACCTATTAGGAAAAGTAGATATGCAGTTTGTGAGTAATATTTGACTTTGGCCCAGACTTGCATGAAGAAAGGACATTAGCGAGCAGAGATTGTCTGTGTTTGAATACAGAATCCATGTGCTCTTGGAGAGGATTACCTTGAAGGCAGCCATGCAGTGCAGGCTCAGCAAGCCCATCACGATGGCCAGAAGGACAGTGGCTAGGTTCCTCACATCCCAGATGGTTTCCACGAGAGGGATGCTGCCCACCTGCCAGTCATAGCACAGGGTGATGGGGGCCAGCAGAAGCCACACGTTGAAGGCCAGGAGGTAGGAATAGGTTAGGAACCTGTGGGAGAAGAACAGCCGCTGAGACACAGCTCCACGTCTACAACATTCTGCAAACAGTTTCCACAGTTCTACTAAACAGCATCTCTGCTCCCTCAACATTAGAGGAAGACAGGAAAGACATCAAGCCATCCATCCATTCCTGTATTCATGAAACTGATCACCTAGAAGCATGTCTCACAGCTTCTAGTCAGCACTGGGTACTGATTTTCAACAGTAAGCAAATAAGACGTCGTTTTCATGAAGACATTTAAATTTATTACAATAAGCATATACACTGAATCAGAGATAAACACAACGGAGGAAACATCTGGCAAGGGCAAGTGACAAAGCACACCTCTGCTTCAAAGAGGACTTCCTGTCCCTGAACTATCCTGTCCTAGTGTCCAGAATCTTGCAATATATTTGAAAATATTTCATCATTTTGACAACAGAATGGTCCAGATAGAAACTATTTCCTAAAGTCAAAGTATCTATCATAGGGAAAGCAAATCCCGTTTGCAAATAGAGAAGGTTATCATTCAAGAGGAGGGAAATGCAGATCAGCCAGGGGGAGGGGAAGAAGACACTGGGTGGGTTCTTACACCTCTTCCTGGTGGGACGAGGCACTGAGGTGCAGCAGGAGGCCTTCTGTGCTCTTCCTTGGGACTTGAGGAACTGAACACACTAAAAGTCATTCAGCTGACACAGTCACCAAGCAGCAGCCTCAGTCCCTCAGAACTGCACAGCTCTCAGTAGAGAGCAAAGCTGTCCAGACCTGTACTAGGAGGTGATGAACCCCAGATGACCTGCCCAACCTCCAACATTAAAATGCTTGCTGGAGAAACTGTAAGGCCACAGAGAACCTGTTCTTTGTCCTTGCTGACACCCAACAGGCCTCTCTGATCATGTCTCCTAGACCATGTACAAAAGGACTGTGTTAGGACTGTGACTGTGTAGTGTAAAACTGAGAACTAGGGCTAAGGAGACACACAAGCATGGAGGCCGAGTCTGATCCCCAGAATGGTGACAGGCTCTTGGATCCCCTGTGCTGGGGAGGTGGAAACAGGAAGATCCCCGGAGCTCTAGGACCAGCCAGCCTAGCCTACTTGGTGAGCTTCAGGCCAGTGAGAGATCCTGACTCAAAGGAGGTGGACAACATTTGGGATAACTCCAGAGGCTGACCTCTGGCCTCCAAACATACACGTACTCCCACACTCCCATGCACATGTACACACATGAACAGAGACAGACACACATACACACACACCCCTGCATTAAAGAATCAAGCTCAGGAAATGCTCCAGGACCCAAGAGCCATACTTTGAGATGCAGTGACAGAAAGGCTGGGCCTCCGTCTCCTCTTCGTGGGGGACAGACTCCTAACTTGGTAGGGCCAGCTAGCAGACAAAGCTGGCCCTTTTCCTCACAGCAGGATGGGCTCAGCGCTTTGCCTACTGTCAGTGGCGACTGAGATGAGACCTGTTCTCACCACTCTCATTGATGGCCAACCTAATTTGTCTATGATGCCCTGCGTGCAATTGAACAAAACAGGCAATGCCTCGTCCCCAAGGACTTTACGATCGCACAGCGCAAAGGAGACATCCTGAATAACAAGGGCAGGACGGGATGGACACCATAAAGCCCGAAGAAACTCTCCTTGCTGGTCAGTCTTCTCTGAGGGGACCACTGGGTAGACATGAAGGTCAGAGCAGAGTTTCTTGTTACTTTCTGTGACAGTTAATATACGTCGCCAATCTGACAGGACTTAGAATCACCTAGGTATCGCACCTCTGGGGGTGTCTGTGAGGACATTTCCAGAGGGGTTTAACTGAGGTGGGAAGACCCACCTTGAAGGTGGGAGGCACCATCCCACAGGCCAGGGTCCCAGACTGAATCAAAAGGAGAAAGTGAGCCTGGGCACCAGCGTTCATCTCTGCATGCTTCCTGAGTGTGGATGCAAGGTAACCAGTTGCCTCACACTCCGGCCACCGTGCCTTCCCTGCCATGGTAGACTACACTCTCGAAGTGTGAGCCAAATGAACCCTTCCTTCCTAAGTTTCTTTTGTTAGGTGTTCTTGCCACAGCAATGAGAAAAGTGACTGATATTTTCCACTGCAGAGTCCCTTCAGCCCAAACTCGGCCAACAGTTACCCTTCCCCTAGAACTTCCAAGCATATCAACTCTGTCACCTCCTCTCCCTCCAACTTTGCAGTGAGGAAGACTACTTCCAGTGTCTCTCAGACTCTCACACAGAAATATGCAGGGCTGGGGCTGCTTCTGCAGTATTTCTCAACACTTCCGTCTCGCATAATTTTCAGTAAGAAGGTAACCAACAATAGGAAGAAGGGCTGAACCTGCAGGCTCTGGTCTATGACCAGCTGCAGAACTGCAACACCAACATCAAAATTACCTGAATGAAAAGCCTGACCCTTTAGGTTTTTTTTTTTTTTTTTTTTTTTTTTGATCTTTTTGAGACAGGGTCTCCCTGTAGCCAGAGCTGTCCTGGAACACACTATGCAGACCAGGCTGGCCTTGAACTCACAGGGATCCGCTTGCCTCTGCCTCCCGAGTGCTTGGGACTACAGGTGTATGCCACCATGCCCGGCAAGTTTAAAGAGTGGGCCTGAACTCAGAGGATGCCCATTCCTGGACCTGTCTGTCTCCTGGAACTGTACTGACGGGACTGTCTGCTGGAACTCTGTCCCAAGTCCTGCCCTATCCATGATTTTATTTAAAATGGTTTCTCCAGCTTCAATGGGGGAAGTACAAGCTTGGCTCCACCTTAATCTTAACAGTCCATCTGGACTTTTCATGTCTAGTTCTAGAGTATCTCATTCACCCAAGGTCATGCATCCTTCCCAACCTCCATTGTGTTCAATGTAGATGGGTGCACTGCCTTTCAGTGCTTTGACGGGTCAATTCTCAAGTATCCCCTTCATTCATTCATTCATTCGTTAGTCAGTCATTCTTTTTCTGCGTGGAGTACCAAATTGAGGTTCCCAGGAAACAAGATCAGGTACCCAGGTCACTAGATACAAGAACACATTTTTTTCTGGGGTTAATTAAAAGTCCTTAGTTCAGATTATGCCCATTTTATGTCATTCCTACAAATGGTCATCTCGAGCACAGCTGGTGGCATCACTGTGGGCAGCTTTCCACAGAGACCTGGGAAGCTCTCTCATCTCGGTGCAGAGCCTTCACATGGCTCAACTGGTGAATGCTGAGCCGCACATGTCACAGACAAGGGAGCTGTCTTTAAAAATACTTAGAAACATTTTACTTAAAAATATTTAAAAATACTTAGAAATAATAGATCTAAGGTGGCCATCAGATGATGAAAATATTAGCTTAGAAGCTGGTGATGCATTGCCCAGTCGATGGACAGGTAGGTACCTATGATCCAGCACACCTGAAATTCAGGCAAGAGAATCATTAGATGTCAGAGGTCAGCCTGGGCTACCTGTCTCAAAAAGCCAAAAACAAGTAAACAAACAAACCATGTATCCAGAGTTCATAAATCCACTTTAATGTCACAGAAAGGGAGACAGACAGTTTAACGCACCTCTGATGGAAATACACACTCATGATAAAGTAGTCTTGTCAAAAACTAAAAGACAAAGGCTTGAATTTGATCAAGTCTTAAAATTTTAAGTGCCAGTGTGGAATAAATAAAGCACTACTAGGACAGGCCACATGATGTCTCAAGGACACATGTATATATATATGACTGGGAGAAATCCCTGAAGCAATGATATTTTAAACAAGCACATGAAATGGGGGAGGGGAATATGCACAGTTAACGTCACTCAGAGGCTCTCAGGTGCAGGTTTTGTTTAGATGCTGTCCTAGTTTGTTCTCCATTGCTGTGACAAAATACTCTGATTAATACCAACTTGGGGAGGAAAGGGTTTATTCAACTTATATCTCCCAGGCCACAGTTCATTAGGGAGCCCAAGGCAGGAACTCAGGGCAGGAACCTGGAGGCAGGAGCTGGAGCACAGGCCATGGAGGAACGCTGCTTACCGGCTTGATCCCCTGGCCCCTGCTCAGCCTGATTTCTTATGCAACACAGGCCCACCCGCCCATGGGTGGCACCACCCACAGTGGGCTGAGCCCTCCCACATCACTCATCAAGAAAAGGCCCCTCGGACATGGCCACAGGCCAGTCCAATAGAGGCAATTCTCCAACTGAGGCTCCCTCAACCCAGGTGTGTCAAGTTGACAAACGCTATTCAGCACAGATGCTGTGATGGCTGGTGTTGATTTGATTTGATTCTAGCTCAGAGGCTCTAGATCACCTGGAAGACAGGCCTCCAGGCACACCTATAATGGACTGCTTAGAGTAGGTTATCCTCTGGCATGCTTTATGCACTATCCTGATTAGGTAAAACTAAAATGGGAAGAGCCAACCTGACAGGGACATCACCACTCCCTAGGCTTGAGTTATGGGCTAAATAAAGGAGAAAGTGAGGTGAGCACCAGCATCTTCTCACTGCTTCCTGACTGTGGCTTCCAATTTGACCAGCTGCCTCCAGCGCTGACGTCATCAGCTCCCCACCATGACGGATTGTGCCCTCCAACAGGAACTAAAAGAAGCCCTTTCTCCTTAAGGTACTTTTGTCAGGGTATTTTATCCAGGAACAGTAAAAGTAACAAAGAAAGATACTAATTCAAGCAAACAACTGCTAAAACTAACACCTATAACATAACTGGAAATAAACTACAATACTGATGGACAATAGAATTGGTTAGAGAATTATTAATTTTAAAATATTTTGTTATTTTTCTTTTATGTTTATGAGTACATTGCCTGCATGTATGTAAGTGCACCCGTGTTGTGAAATACCCACAGAGGTCAGAAGAGAGCACTGAATTCCTTGGAACTGGAGTTACAGTTATTAGCTGCCATGTGGGTGCTGGGAATTGAACCTGGGTCCTCTGCAAGTGCAGCTAGTGCTTTTAACTGCTGAGCTATCTCTCCAGCCCCCAGAATCATTTTTTTATATCATTATACAAAAA